TAATTTCCTAAATAAAAATGAATTAAAAGGAGTCTAATGGGTACTTCAATTCTATATATACGAGTCACAAAAGGCTTATCCTATAGAATAACAGCAGTAGAGGAAGGAGAAGCAAAACTGTTCAAAATCACATAATTAAACCCCTAGTTGTCATGTGTTAAATCTCCTTTTTCTTTATGGAAAATTTTCAGTATAAGAATAAAGAGGAAATTAAAAAAAAAAAATGGAATTAAAAGAGAGGAAACTATGGACCACATTTCTTTCTTCTTTTTTGTTATGGGAAATCATATGATAGAAGATAATCGTCTTTTTTGCTTTTGTATCCACTCAATCACTCAGTCGATCACATGTTTCGTTAATGAAATCCTATCTTTGATTACGAAAAGAATGAAATTACTTGTTGATGTCCAAAAGAAGAAGGTAATTACATTTTAAAAGTTGAAATAAGTGAGACAGTGTTTGAGAAATATGAGGGTTATCATTTACTCTCTTTGATTTGATTTCGTTGTTCTAATTTGATTTTTACTTAAAGTTTGATTAGATAATTTTTTATAGTATATAGATGATAATTATTTTTTTTAATATGTAGTTTGACTTTCCCTTTTAAGCAAATTTTTTTTAAAATTTTTTTAAATATAAATTTAAATAAAAATTTTTTATAGTATATAGATGATAATTATTTTTTTTAATATGTAGTTTTTGTTTGAGTAATGTTACTTAAATTAATTGTTTTTCATTTATTATATAAAATTATCACATTAAATTTATATAAAATTGAGAGATTAAGGAAACTAAAAAAGATCAGTCTGAGTATTGTATATGGAAATGTTACACAGACAACATTTTTGGTGTAATATTTATCATTAATGATGTATTATGACAGTTAATTTAGCATTACGGTCATGATATGTAGATAATTTTTTATATATTTTATCTATATAATTTTTATATATTATTAAAATTGAATATACATATAATATTAAGAGTTATAAAAAAATATAAAAAGAATAAATTATTAAATAACATGTAAAATTATACAAAAAATTTATAAAATGATTATCTTTCAATCATTTTCTTTTAATATTATTATATAAAAAAATAATTAGTATACATTCCGTTTAATACACTTTTAGACACTTGTTTGGTTTAATTATTAAAATATAATATAAATACAGTTTAATTCAATCAGTTCTTACATCTTATATGCATAATTACACTTTCAAATTTATCTATTTTTAATATTTAATAAATATACTGTATAATTTATTAAATTAGAGTGTACCATTCAGTGTCCTATTATATAGTTTTTTTTATTAACAAAATAAAAATTTTATTATAATTAGAGTATAAGAAGTACTTCTACCCATTTGAAATATATGTACAAGGTACATCAATACCAAAAATGCAAATCCATGCCACAGTTCATCAACGAAATCAGCCATGTAATTTCAGTTGTTTATGAAATTGTTTCAAACTACTTTTATACCTTATTACTTCTATTGCACACTCAACCAGTCTTGACAATGCAAAAAAAAAAAAAAAAAAAAAAAAAAAGGGTCTTGACAACCATCCTTAAAATGAGAAAACACACCTCTTCATTTTGTGTCCTATTATATAATTAATTTTTGTTGTTTAAAAGATCACAAATAATATATATTGTATATACCAACTCACCCTAATTCCAAGTCATACAATATGTAATATTACACAAAAACATTGTGCTTGCATCATCTCTGTAGTGGATATGCCATATATCAAATGAAGAAAAAAAGGTTTGTTGACAAATAATCCAACTTCTGTAAATTCACTTTAGGACTACAAACTTAGAAAAATAAACCAAAAACGAACCTCCACCCACTCAAATCATTACCTCTAAATCAGGCACATGTGCCTTGACTTCTCATACTCTCCTGTCACGTATGGAAGGAACCCACCACACAACTAGATACGAAAATTAAAGCCACATCCTGAGATAATTAAATAGATCACTTCTTCTTCGTGTCATTTAACGGTCGGCCAGGTCTAACTACTCTTTTAAAGTCATACAAGAACAGTTAAAAGGTTTTTTTTTTTTTTGAATGTACCTTAAGAGTTACGATGTCGTTAAGAACATGTTAATTGTTATGGTATAAAAATTGGCTTTAATGGTTATAAACTGTTTAATTAAAAATATTTAGGTGATATTATTGTTGAAAGGATTAATGAAATTAAGATGTTTTTATAATTAAAATATCAAAATTAATAATGAAAAAAATTAAATTTATACATAGAAAAAAACTTATTAAAAGTATATTTGATTAATTTTATAAAAATAAATTGACATTTAAAATATTAAAATATATATCGTAATAATTATTTTTCTCGTGGTTAAAAGTAAAATTAACCTTTTTGAAATTTTTTTTAAATATAAATTAATTAAAAAAATGTAATTGATACACCCTTGAGTTATATTGTAAAGAGAAGTCAGAATTAAATTGATCGAAGTATAATTGAAATACTAGAAATAATTTTAAGAATTAAAAAGAAGTGACTAAGATCATACCTCTCAAATAATATTATAATTTAATATCATAATCAGAACAGCTGGGATACAAGGACACGGACACACTGTACCAAGGAAGGTTTTAACTTGAAACACAAAATAAGGGACATACATAGAAATCAAACACTAATTAACACACAAACCCACTCATCATGACTGATGTAAAGTTATTTAGGGTAGTTGCTCACTGGTGATCACCCCACACACGAGAAAATAGATGTTAATTAAAAGAGATGGTGGTGCTTCTTTCCATGAGCAGCCTCCTCTTCTTCCTTTGTTTCTTTCTTCTCATGGTGCTCGTGGAAAGCAAAACCACCAGCTCCCACTGCGGCTGCTGCTGCGATCTCTTCCTCTATCTTGTGCCTGTGGGCATGCTCTGGATCTTTCTCTGCCTTGTGCTTCTCATGCTGAAAAAAAGCAAACAAATCAGAGATTCTATATATAGTCTAACCAACTTTAGGCAAGGATCTATACAAGTACTCATCCCAATTTTTTTTAAAGTTTAAGTTGAAGTTGTTAGTACATGTTAACATGAATCATAATATGAATATATCATTTTTTCTCTTCCCTGACTTCAGATCAAGGATGAGGGATTTATATATCTTGGCATGATCGGGAAGTGTAGAAAGATGAAACGTTACCACTGCGTAAAGGCCAGCGGCAGCAGCACCCAAACCGCCGAGTTCCTCAAGGTGCTTGTGATGCTTCTCCTCCTTCTTGTAATCAACTTCAGGTTCAGGTGGGGGAGCAGACTCAGAGTAGACAGTTGTCTCGGAGTAGGCAGAGGACTGAACAGGTGGGTCAGAGTAGGGAGAGGTGTTAATTGGGGCATCGGAGTAGGGAGAGGTCTCAATTGGGGTATCGGAGTAGGGAGATGGCTCAACAGGGATTTCATCGTCGTCCTTCTTGTGGTGGAAGAGGCCATGGTGGTGGTGGTGCTTCTCCTCAGCCATGGAAGCTTTGAGTGAAATTGCTAAAAGTAAATCAAGTAAAGAGAAGATGAAATGAGATGATTAAGAGATTTGAGGTGTGATTTTGAAGGGTTGCATTATGGGGGGATTTATATAAGTGGGAGTGGGAGTGGGGGTGGAGGATTCGAAGCTACGCGTAGAAGTCGTGGGGGGGTGGCACCAGATTTTTATGATGGACGGTGGAGATAAGTGGGGTTCAAGATTCATTATCTGCTATTAATGCCATTGAGTTGGGTTTTTTTATTTCTTATTTTGCTTTCCTGTACAATGTACAGATCCTAAAATTAAGGAAAATTTAATACGACACTAATACATTAATTGGGATACATAACCAAAAATTAAATGTATTTAATGTAATTTTTATTTTATTTTTTAAAAATAGTGTTATTGTTATACTTTCAATTACTAATATCATATATTCATATCTTAATTAATTGTCATACCTTTTGACATATTTAAAATTTTTTTAAAAAAATACATAGTTCAAATAAAAAGTGTAATACAAAAATATAATTGTTAGTTAAACTAAAAAGATCTTATATTAATTATTGAGGATGCTACAATAACCTCACCTATCTCTCATTCATTTTACTTGTCACATTTTTTTAAAAGCGATGGTCAAATTTATTACCTTGTCAATTTCAATTTTCAAAACACATTGTATTAAAGTTTTATTTTTTAATTTTGTTCATATTGATAATTACTCTATTCTTAAAAGAATTTTTAAAAAAATTTATATCTTTAGAACATAGGTTAAAGATATAATTGATACATATTTTTAATATTAATTGGTATTGAAAATGACAGAAACTAACATTAATCTCATTAATAATGCCATATAGCTCATTTGAATTATATAGTTGATTAAATAAAAGTCAAATTTTATTTTTTTAATAGTAATTAATGTAAAAAAATTACTCTTAAAAACCCTTACTTATAAGGACATATATGAAATTTTAATTAGTAATAAGTTTGTTTTTATGAATTTATATATATATATATATATATTGTGATTGTGTTAAACAAAAATGTGATAAGTAAAATGGAATAAAGGCCATCTTAATTGGTATTGAAAAAGCTAAGGTTTTATCTAATCAATTGTTGAGTTTTTATTAATCGATTATCTGATTAAAATAATTCACATAATATTAATGATAAAACTAATATTAATTTTTATATTTTTAATATCAATTAATGTAAAAAATATACATTAACTACATTTTTAACTTGTATTAAGGCATATATTACAAAAACCCTAAATAAAAGAGCTGCCATAAAACATTTTTTTTATACATTAAATGATGTATTATATAATATGAAATAACTCTTCTCATCTATCTCATAATTTGAATTTAAAATTTTCAAATATGAAAA